GTCACTAATCTCTCTCAGATTGCCTCGTCTACATAGAATGTAGTCTACCTGCGTACTCCTACCTCCACTCTTATATGTAACTCTATGTTCCTCCCTCTTCTGGAAATAGGTGTTAACTACAGCCATTTCCATCCTCTTAGCAAAGTCCACCACCATCTGTCCTTCTAGGTTCCTTCCCTTAACACCAAACCTGCCCATCACCTCCTCATCACCTTTGTTCCCCTCACCAACATGCCCATTGAAGTCTGCCCCAATCACCACTCTCTCCCCTCTGGGAATACTCTCCATCACCTCATCTAACTCACTCCAGAATCTCTCCTTCTCTTCTAACTCACACCCTACTTGTGGAGCATAACCACTGACTACATTCAACATTACCCCTTCAATTTCCAACTTCAAACTGATCACCCTGTCTGACACTCTTTTCACCTCTAAAACATTCCTCACGAGCTCCTCCTTCAGGATCACTCCTACCCCATTTCTCTTCCTGTCCACACCATAATAAAACAGTTTGTATCTCCCTCCAATGCTACTGCGCTTTGCTACCCTTCCACCTGGTCTCCTGCACACACAGTATATCTACCTTCCTTCTCTCCATCATGTCCGCCAGCTCTCTACCTTTCCCTGTCATTGTGCCAACGTTAAGAGTCCCTATTCTCAGACCTATACACCTGCCTTTCCTCTTCTCTCTCTGTCTACGAATCCTTCTGCCTCCTCTCCTTCTTCGACCAACAGTAGTCCAAATTCCGCCAGCACCCTGTAGGTCAACAGCACTGGTGGCAGTCGTTGTTAACCTGGGCCTCGACCGATCCAGTGTGGAGTTCACACTGATGATTCGCATGTTTAAATTTGGCATGTTTTTACGCCGGATGCCCTTCCTGACGCAACCCTCTCTATTTATCCGGGCTTGGGACCGGCACAGAAGTCACTGGCTTGCAACCCCTGTGGCTAGATTTATCAACAAAAGCAAACTACATAAACAAAACAAATGTGCAGTAGTGGTGGAATAATGCCTGAAATATAAATAAACCATTTAAGCTCCACAGCCAGTACAGGCTTTGAAATAGACTCCGTGACTGTCATAATGATCATATTGGACTTTTTTTTTTTTATGTGTTCTCTGTCCATGCGCATATCACCTGTAATTATTATTCTGTGTCGATCCCTCACTGACTGGTAAAACTAACAGTAAAGGGATCAATGGAGAGACAAGGACATTTCAAATCTTTTGGTCATTTATGGAGACAATTCTGTACAAGTCAAGCTGGAAGGAGCTTATTTTAAGTGAGCAGTTTTTAAGGAATTTGTAAAGTATGACTGCCGTACAAATTATGTTGTTGTTGTCACATTTCAGTTAAATCTCTGCATGCAATTATGGACCTCAGTGGTGTTCACACACAGAATCTGATGCCACAAACATGAATGTGAACTATCAAAACAAAAGGAGTGGATCTAACAAAAAAAAAAAATTGGAATTGAGCATGTGAACATAGCCTATCAAGCTATCAACAAAGACCAGTCAGGACAGAAAAAGCCAGGACTACAAGGTGGTCCACATAAACTCATCTACTACCTAGGCCTGATCACACAAGCTGAATGAAGAGCAGAATATCAACACCGACTATGCATCTATATCTATAAAGCTGTACATCTATAATGCCGTTATATATACAGTATGTATGCATACTGTATATACTGTACTAAACTGAAAGGGCAGTCCAACAGATCAACTAGAGCCACTTTTAAGCACATCTAAATTTTACAATAAAAACTTCCACAACCATGGCATGTTGAACAGATCTAAACAATATAGAACACCATGAAATATAATTGAAATATATTATCTCTAAACTCCATTCTCCAATATGTTCCTGTATCTTGTAGTTTTAGTATGTGTTCTAGTATTCAGACCACAATCTGAAAGCTATTGATAATGAACTGTTCCATCTTTTTTGTGTTTAAGAAACTGCAGGCTTCATGGGTGTATCGTGCATACTAGTTAGTGTGTATGGGTGTGCACATAAGTTCCTCCACGTCATTTCAAATTTAAACTCAGATTGGAGAATGTCCAGCAGCACACGTGCCTTGAGCAGAGGAGAGGAAGTTTTCTTCTTCAAGCTCTCTTATACAATCTACAGTACGAGTGCTGGTCAGTTGATGGATGGATTTCAATATGGCGCCGTTGTTGTTGGTTTGCCGTCTGACTCTCCTATTGATTTCCTGTTTTTTGATATTTGATGCTGCTTCTTTTGTTTCTACCTTGGTTTATGATCGTCTGACGCTCCTTGATATATGCAACTCGTTGTCTGGATCTTCCAGAATTTGCCTAACCCATCAATTCGAACTTCCATCGCCACCACCAGCGTCTATATCTTCCTTCCTTCAGCAGAGTACTGGCACTCTTCCAGCTAGGCCCCATTGGAGGCAACGCAGTAGGAGAGCTGGACGTCACATAAGGTTGAAATCGGGCCTGAACTCACTGTGGTGGAGGGGGCACCTCCTCAAGCATGGCTGCCTTGACTCAAGCTAGACTCTTACCTACAACTATCACTTTCTTCTGCCGGCTGGTGAAGATGTTGAGGCCCCTTGCCCACATTGCCGGCTGGTTAGACGCTCGGACCGGTGTCGTTCCCAGGCTAACCTCCGCCCAGTGGCTCGAAATGACTTCTCTCTGGACAAGCCAAGTCCGCTTCAGTTTGCTCTTCTGAACATAAAATTGCTTAACAAAACCTTTATTCTTAACAATCTTATGTGTTCACACCACCTGGATATGTTTTTTATCACTAAAACTTGGTTGAAACAAGGCGACAACAGTCTCTTTTCTGAGTTGTTACCGGTGGATTATTTATTTTTTAATACGCCGCGACTGGTGGGTAGAGGTGGCGGTCTGGCAACGGTCTGTAAGTCGACCATAAAATGTCGCCCGTTTCCCTGAAGAGATTTTTCCAGTTTTGAACTACAAACTTTCATTTTAACCTTACACCACCCTATGTTATGTGTTTTAATATACCACTCTCCTGAAAGCCAAGGATTTTATAAATGACTTTGGTGTATTGATTCCACAGTTTGACAGCTTTTTAATTTGTGGAGATTTTAATATTCATGTTGACTGTGCTTCGGATTAGTTAGCAAAGGAGTTCAACGATTTGCTCGAATCCTTTGATCTCGTCCAGTCGGTACTGGGCTCCACTCATCTACATGGGGGCACCCTGGATCTTGTCATTTCTCGGGGCCTATCAGTCTGTATCAAAGTCTGTGCTCCTAGAACTTTGGCCCCCTGCCAGTGTTGTAGTATTATCACCTCATCTATGGCATCGGATTTTGCAATTGCCTTTTCTGCTTCTGAGCTTTGCTCCTCAGGGGCTGAGAACCTCCCAGCATGCCCTCCTGGCATGCCCTGACACCTTCCTCGGCTTATTTTACTCTACTTGTTTTAGGATTATGGAGTCCATCGCTCCCTTTGTGAAAAGGAGGGCTAGAAATACTGTTGACCTTTGGTTGAACGTCACCACCCGTGCCCTGCAGAGACGGTGCAGGCAGGCGGAGCGAAAATGGAAAAAAGATGGACTACATGTTTCCCTTGCCATGCTAAGGGACAGCCTTCTTTCTTATCAGAGAGCTGTAAAAAATCGGTGGCGAATTGTAATCAATTTCAGAGATATTTCATTGATAAAGTTCTGAATATTAGGCGAAACATTCCCATGTCCCTACCTCATGGACCGCCTGTATCTCATGCACTCCATATATTTGATTCCTTTTCTCCAATCTCTCTGCATCAATTTAAAAAATTTGTCTCGCACCTGAAGCCCACCTCCTCTCTTCTGGACTTAGTCCCAGCCAGGATTATTAAGGAGGCTATCGACATGGTAGGGCCTACCTTGGTCACTCTCATCAACTGCTCTCTCAGCTCGGGGTTGGTTCCCAACGCCCTTAAACATGCCATAGTGAGACTTCTTCTTAAGAAATCTAACCTTGATCCAGCCGATCCATCTAACTTCCGCCCAATTTCTTTACTGCCTTTTTTATCTAAAGTAATGGAAAAGCGGTTCTTACTCAGCTGCAGTCTCACCTAGATCGTTTGGAAATTGCTGACAAATTTCAGTCAGGTTTTAAGGCCCGCCATAGTACAGAGTCTGCTTTGCTGAGGGTCCATAATGACATCGCCATGGCTCTTGATGCCAAGTGCCCCGTTATTTTACCCAAAAGCACTTACTCCACTGTATGATTGTATTCGGGATATCAAGATTTGGCTTGCCCAGAATTTTCTTCATTTAAATGAGAATAAGACCGAATATATCTTTATCAGCCCTGATCTAGCCACAGGTGTATCCAGTTTATGTGCCCCTGCCCCTGCACTCACAGACATGGTAAAAAAACCTGGGAGTGATATTTGATACCGGTTTTAATTTTGATAAGCAGATCAGAGCTGTTGTCAAGACCAGTTTCTTTCACCTCAGACTTAACAAAGGTTAAGCATTTTTTATCCCAAGGAAACTTAAAAAAGGTGATCCATGCTTTTGTTACTTCGCGATTAGACTATTGTAATGCCCTTTACGTTGGTATATCTCAGTCGTTGCTGAGGAAACTTCAACTGGTCCAAAATGCGGCAGCTCGGCTTCTTCCAACACTCCCAGATATGCCCATATTACTCCTGTTCTTCTCACATTACACTGGCTGCCTGTACATTTTAGAGTTGAGTTTAAGATTCTTTTATTTGTGTTCAAAGCCTTACATGGCCTTGCTCCACTTTACCTATCCGAACTTTTATCTATCTATGTTCCTCGTAGAGCCTTGTGCTCTTATAATAACCTGCCCCTAGTGGTTCCACGGTCCCGATCCAAAAAATGGGGTGACCGCACGTTTGCTGTTTATGGCCCCAGACTCTAGAACTCGCTGCCGCTTGAGATTCGATCTACCACCGAGCTAGATGTTGTTAAATCCACATTAAAAACGCACCTTTTTAATCTGTAATCTGTTTTATCTGCCTCTAAATGGCATTCTCCACATGTTGTTTTATGTTCTATGATTATCTTGTTGACTGTTTAGTATTGTTTTGTTTGTTTTAGTATTGTTTTAGTGATAGATATGTCTATACTGTGCAGCACTTTGGGCCCTTCTGAGTTGTAAAGTGCTATATAAATGCTGTTTATTATTATTATTATTATGACATCTGACACTTTCAAACTTCAGAAGAAGCTTCTCACCCTATACCTCTCATGAGCTCATTTAATAACCTATGTATGCATGCACCCACAGACACATAAGTACAAACACCCTGGAGAACTCTTGATACAAAGTTGGTTAAGCACAAAAATACCTTCAGATTCAAAATAAACCCAAGAATAGCAACTCTTCCCAAACCTGAGCAATCATTTCTTTGTGTTTGCCTGTCAGACAGAAACATTTTGTTCTATTTATGCCCAATGATTTTGTTTCCTATTTAATCAGGCATCTGTCACATGCCAGGAAAACAATAACTGCACAAAAATACAGTTAAAAAAAAAGAGGTAGCAGGAAAAATAACAAGTAAAATGTGATTTTTTGAAGATGTAAGAAAAAGCAAGTGATACTTCTGATTAAGCTTTTAGTCACACTTAAGGGATACAAAAAATATTGGAAAACAGTTGATGTGACATAGTTGCAGACAAAGGAATTACTCTAAGCTCTAGTCAATTTGAACACATAATACCCCATGTTAAGGAAAGCTTCTGAAGAACATTTTGTTAAATAAAACAACACAGGCTTTTCATATGTTTGGAAACCTACATCAAGTAATTGATGGAGTGCTAAAGGGTAAGGGCACTCCCTGCCTAGCAAAAGGCAGGCAGCCAAGAGATTGTTTTTTTTCTTGACCACCTAAAATGAGTCAGAATCTGAAAACTGGCCAATAGGTATTACAAAGGGTTGCTGATTTACTATGGTGTCTAATTCTGATAATGCAGACTATACATTTTCCACAGCTGTTGCACACTAACCTTCCAACAAACAACTTTGGCTGTGAAGCAGCTGCAACAAGTGTTGAGTTATAACCACTGGGGTTAGTTAGCGAAGTAAGAACTTGCTCCAAATACTCATGTTTTTCAGTGAAAAAAATGCAAAGGTGGTGGTGGTGGGGTGGTTTATGCTTTAACCTAGCATAAAAGGTTCAAGCCTATTGTTAAGAAATGCCAACACTACTCAAGAATTCTTGTGGAAGTCAGTGAATCTCTACAAGTGCCAGGACAGTTGCAGCTAGGCACCAACAGTGATCTTGTTCAAGCAATATTTCAACATTTTGGGAGAAATATAATATGTATTCCCTTTTTGATGGACAGTTTGAGCTTGAAACTTCTCTTGTAGCTGCACACAGACCGAAAATAATGGGGAAAAGCTAGCCATGCACCATCAAAGCAACCAGAAGTTTTTACACCTTGTTATTGTGATATAATGTGATATAATATAGTGCTGTTTAGATGGATTTTGTTTCCCTGTTTCCAGTGATGGTACTAAGCTAACCCACTGCTGGATGTAGCCTAATATTTACCATACAGCAGGGTTTCTGCTGGGATTTTCTCTTGTTGGTCAGGTGTGTGGAAAGAATGTATTTTACTGGGCAAATTTCAAAATTGCCAGTCACGCTTCAATAGTAGTTTATTTAAAAATGCAAATATATAGTTTTATGCGTTTCACCTGTCAAACACAGAACCTCAGGAGTATTCAATAAACAGATTTAACATACAGTGTGAACTTACTTACTTAAAAATTCACATTTATTACTGAAGTTTCAGGGTTAAACTATACAGAGAGTCATAAATTCCACAGCACTGACAAGACTGCTGGAGCTAAGGGCTAATTCTGCACTCTGAGCTAAAAGGCAGCTTTCCTTCTGGGGACATTAAATATTTTCTAGTCATTGCTTTTGTGATTTGTGCAGTTTTAGTAAAAAAAAAAAAAAAACATTTTCATGATCATCTCCACATTTGTTCAGTTTACAACCTCTCTACCACTAATGTGCGCACATGTCACTGATGTGCAGGGAAGACCTCTCTGCAGGCATGCTGTGCTGTATCACAGTCTCAAACTCATAAATGTCAGCATCATTACCAGACATTCTGATCAGCAAGTTTTTAAATTTATCTTTTTTTAAATGAATTTTCCAGGCAAAAACTGGTAACTACTGGCTAAAGGAAAGGCTGTCATACAGACAGACAAAGTCATACCAATCTTCTCATCTCACTCTCCACCAGAAAGCAAAAAAAGTATATTATCCAAAATGTCAAATTATTTGCTTAAATTTCAGGCTTACCATTTTATGCATTATATCAGTGATGCAGGAAAGAAATCATTGTTAAGCAGTTGTGAATAATCTGTGCTCCACGCAAATTCATCATTATTTTTAGCCAGACTCACCCTGGCCCCAGGTATCTCGCAGCAGGCCTCTTGGATGGCGAGGGATGGGTCACAATAGAGCATCGCCTGCTGAATATCCATCTGAACAGGAGAAGGAGAGAAAGAAATAGTTACATATTCCACTGGCAGGTCCCCATAAGCCCTCTGATTTATTTATTAATTAATGTAAATATGGTTGAAATGAGGTGGCAATCCAGGTTGATTTCTCATTTATATAGAATATTAGGAAATCACTTTCTTTGTGTTAATGAATGAGCACTTCTCCCCTGCACTAACATAAGACCTCCTGGCTTAGTAGACCAGTTAATTGATGATCAAACTTAGTGACAGGATTACTGGATCTATTCAGCATTAGTAAGCCTAGCTCACCACATGGCCATTCTCCCAAGTTTTTTATTCAGAACCAAATGAAATAACATCAGAAAAGCACCTCAAGCATATAGCCTACAGTCCAAAACACACACATTACACACACAAATATTATATGTATGCATCCACAGAAAGAGAGAATAAATGATTCCAGTAAAAAGACCTTTAAGGGAGGTTGGTCAGCTGGGGTGGGGAGGGTTGTGGGTGTCTGGAAAAAGCCTGGTATGTTATTAAAATTGCATATGCCAGGGCTATACTGAAATATATTATGCAGCAAATGCCATGTCATTCTCTATGGAAGAGATCCCAATAAGGGAGTTAGGTTCATTTAAACATCTTCTGTAACAGACAAGTAAGAGTTTGCTCTTCATACAGAGAGAGCTTAAAGGTCACCACACATTCAAAGAGCAAGTTTAGATGATATTTACACATTGCAAAGCTTAACCTTGATCAAAAGCTCTTCAATGATCAAGACAGGGCAGCAGGAAACAGCACACAGCAGGACAGAGATATTTCTCTATTTGAATAGCTGGATGATGAAATCTTAAGTTCTTTTAAATGCTTCTTCTTACATGACCATTCCCCCTTAATCCAAAAATATGTTATTTATCATCAAATATAAAGGACTAAAAAGTGGTATTTAAATAAAGTTCAAATACAGTTACACTCTACAGTACTATTACTAATATTATTGTGAATGATACCTGCACAGGCTGAGCATTAGAGGCCTGAATGCCCAGCAGACTGTATCCGTCAGTGGGCAGAACTCCACGAGGTTCCAGGGGCTTGGTTTCGATAGAGCTGCAGTCCACATGGAGGGAGACAGAATCTTGTTGCACACTGAGAGCCACCTTATGCCAGCGCAGGTCCATCAGGGCCTCAACCCCCTCCCCAGTGAAAACACAGCTCACCAGGTAGGCTTCAGGGTCTGCACCTCTGGCTCGCAGGGACAGGGTTCCATCAGGGCCACTGAGGTCTACAGAGAGCTATGTTTCAGAGTAGAGACATGGTGGAGAACAGTGAGAGAAAAGCCATATACTAATCTAACCATACTGTGTTCAGTATGCCAACTCAGTTCATTTAGGCCAGGGGATAAAAAAAATGTAAACTATCTGTAGTTGTCTAATTGGTAGTGGTTTCAATAAAGGGTAATATGTACATACAGCTACTGCCTGAGAAGGCGGTGGTACAGAATAGCAGAAATGATGTAAATGGAAAGACAGTAATTACATACAACAAGTATAGCCAATCAATCAGTCCTAATGAGGCAACTTGGCCACCATCCATCATACACACTGAGTATTTACAGTAAATTTGGCCTCAGACTCTTAGTGATTGTGGGAACTCTGAGGGACATCGGTGCTTCATCTTGAAAAACATTAATAACAATGAAGGTGAAGGAAAGAGAATGATGGTGAAACAGGGGGTGAAGGAAAGGGGATCCGATGAAGAATAAGAGAGGACAAGAAGCACTTGGAAAGAAAGTGGGAAGAGAACTGAAAAGGTGTCATGAGAGAGAAGAAACTGAAGGTGAATGTGGATGACTATGCAAAAGAGATGAGAGATGACAGATATGAAAAATGAGTAGCCAAAAGACATGATGAATAAAAAGGTCAAAGAAGAAAGAAATCAAAAGAATGAAGGAACAGGAAACAGAGAGTGAGGTGTACCTGTGGGTATCCCTGCTGATCAGATATCTGGAAAAGGTAGATAGTATCCCTCAAGGCAGTCTTCTTTAGAGCCAGGGTGAAGACCACGGTGAACTCCTCAGGAAGGCCATGAGGGAACACCTGACTGGAACACAGAAGTTTAGGAAGGTCAGGGAGATGACATTTCTCCATATGTGGGAGCTGAAAAACTGTGAAACTAAGTACAGGAGAAGTTTAACAGAAAATTTCCATTTTATACATGCACTTTAAAGGCCAGTTTACTAGCCATACAAATTGCTACTTGACCTCTTTTCTGGCCTGATTTTCTCATCAGGGTTGGAGACTACAGGCCTGCATCACAGCCTTGGGGGTCTGAACTTTAAAACAGCTATAATCAGTATTTTCATATTAACTATACGATTTCTGTAAAAGATGTCCCTCATAGTGACAAACTCACAGAAAATTATCAAATAAATTGCCAATTCCCATGAGCACCATCAAGAATTTAAGCCCCTTTGGAACACTGTCTTGGCTTTATGGCCTGCAACTTCAGTATTCTGGTTGACAATAAAGATATCTATCTATCTAGAAACAGAGAAATAAAGAAAGTGATAGAGAAATAGAGACATACATAAATAGACAGATAGCCATGGGAGTGTGTAGATGTACTGAGAGAGGAAGGATTCACAAACATGCCTGGTGAAATGCATGCTCACTGAGATTATGAACACTAAAATATTCTCTCTTACTCTATTTCTTTAACACAAGCACACACGCAGAATTGTTGATGCTAGCAGCTGGTTCCCCATTCCTCAAAATGGGGTGACAGTGATTTATGACTAAGGGAAGATCCAAGGGAAAACAGCCAACTACAGGACGTCAAAACAAAGAGAGGATGAGAAGGAGAAAAGTTGAGAAAGAAAATACATTGGTATGTATTACAAACCCTTTTACCGTTCAAATCCAATATTAAAACAAATGTTTTCAATAAAGAAGATCCTTCTTGACAAAAATGTCCAGACTGTCAAAAATGTTTTGATTGTGTTAGGTAATTTTTTAGTCAGATAGATATTGGTTAGATATTTGTTGTATTAGAAATGTTTAGTGGAGACAGGATGTCTAGCTCAGGCTGTTAAATGCTCAGTCATTCTCATGAGTTTTTTGCAGGGTGCATTATGGTCAAGGACAACTAGATAGAAAAAGTTTGATTGTCAGCAGACAGGAGGATTATTGTTATTATTATGATATGTGTAACCGTAATTGTAATCATAATATTTTCTTATGTGTAATGTCATGACATGTCACTAGATGTCATGTCAGACTGTTCTTAGATACACACCACTTAATCAACATTCACACACATTGATTTTCTTCATGTTTTGACTATTGTTATGGTCAGCTCCAAAGCTGGCATATCAAGTGACGCCACGGTTTGACATCCCTGTGTAGTATGGGGCTAGCCCAACCAATAGATA